GTGTATGTGTTGGTCTGTTTCAGTTTGTGTCAGTGTGTGCTTGTGTCAGACAGTGTGTGTAGCAGTGTATGAACGTGATTTAGTGTATGCAACAATGTGTATCAGTCTGTTTTTGTGTGTGTCAGAGTTTGTATATCAGTGTGTGTCAGTCTGTGACAGTTGTGTGACAGTATATGTATCAATGTACAGTGTGTGCCTGTTAGTGTGTGTGAGCATGTCAGTGTGTGTAACACTATGTACTGGTGTGTAACAGTGTTTCAGTGTGTGATTCCATGTGTCAGTTTGTGTATCACTGTGTGTGTTAATGTGTGTACCAGTTGTGTTTCAGGGTGCTAAAGTGTATAACAATTTGTGTTTCAGTGTGTGACAGTGTAAGTATCAGTGTGTAATAGTGTGTTTCAATGTGTGTAACAGTGTGTATCACTTTTTCAAAGTGTGTCATTGTGTCTCAATGTGTTTTAATGTATCAGTGTGTAAGTGTGTAACAGTGTGTGTGTCAGTGTGTTTCAGTGTGAAACAGTGTGTATTAGTGTGTGTTTAAGTATGTATCAGTGAGTGTATCTGTGTGTATCAGTGTGTGTTTCAGTGTGTGTCAATGTGAAATAGTGTGTATCAGTGTGTGTTTAAGTATGTATCATTGAGTATATCAGTGAGTGTATCAGTGTGTTTCATTATGTTTCAGTGTGTAACAGTGTGTGAGTCAGTGTGTTTCAGTGTGAAACAGTGTGTTTCAGTGTGAAACAGTGTGTTTCAGTGTGTGTTTCAGTGTTTATCAGTGTGTGTTCCAGTGTGAAACACTGTGTATCAGTGTGTTTCAGTGTGTAAGAGTGTGTGTGTGTGTCAGCGAGGGAGGAAGAATAACAATCCCAGATCTCTCCTCGGTGTCCGGGGACGGAGGGGCGGATCAAAGCGGCGGTGCTGGGAATGTGGGAATGTGGGAATGTTAGTGCTGGAGCGGAGCGCAGGAATGCAGACGGAGGAGTGTGAGAGTCTGACCCAGACAGCGGGCCACTCCCCGGCCCTGGCAGAGCCCGGCAGAACAGAGCGCGGATCCTTTTTCACCTCGCCTCTCCGCCGGGAGCGCCTGTTTGCGCAGCTCAAATTGGCATCAGGTGTGAGCCGGGGGGCCCGGTACGGGGGGGGGCACAGCGTTCCTCCTCCCCCCGGCCGCGAGCACAGCTGCAGCCCCAGCCTGCCAGCTCTGAGTCAGAGCCCCTCTCCTCTCCCACCCCTCCTCTGGCACACCCGCCGACACACTCCGTCTGGGGGCTCCGTCTGGAGCGGGCTGCCAGCAGGCTGCCGAGCCTCCCCGGGGCCCGGCGACATTAAACATGCAGTTCGCCTTGCCACCACAAGGTGGCGCTGGTAGACTACATAAAATAGCGTGCAGAGACCAAATAGAAACACCAGGGGGCGACAAAACTGCTCTCCCGTTCTTGGCAGGTCAACTGAAGTTTTTGTTTCAGAATCTGACTT